CCGCCAGGGGGAGACAGAGGGCCGGGCTGCCCTCCTTGGTCCCCTTTCCCAGCCACAGTTGGCATTTGAGCCAGGGGAAATCTACAACTTGTCTTTCCTTCCTTAAGAAGGATGCATTTGTTAGCGCTTGGAAGGGGGAGGCAGCAGAGTCACGAGTTCAAAGCCACCCTCAACTAGGGAGACTGACGCTATCTTTAAAACAGACAAAGTACCTTTTGTTGTCTCATGGAAAATGAATAAATTTGCAGAGCTGTCTAGACGCCCAAGCCATATATTGAGGCTTCTTTTAAGTCGCCTCCCATCTGTTGTTTACACAGTATGTGTCAAGCCATTGCATAATGTTAGCAATCCGTTGTATTTGTTTTGTCTAGTGTAGAAAAAAATGATTTCTGAAAATCAGTGATAAATAACTTATTTTCTTATAGTTTTGATCATTAGCTCTTAGTGCTTGCATGGTCAGGTTTACCGTCCTTGGGCCCCAGTTCGGATGAGGACTTTAAGTCTTTTATAAAGGTTACTTATAGGGAGTTGGTATATTTAGGAATTGGTTTTTAGAAGGGTGTGTGTATGTATGTGTCTGAGGGTTTTGCTTATATATATATAAGCACAGATATATATATATATATATATCTGTGAACCACGGCCATGCCTGGTGCCATCTGAGGTCAGAAGAGGAGGTTCAAAGAGGGCGTTGGATCCCCCGGAACTGGAGTTTCTGGTGGTTGGTAATCAGGAAGTGGATGCTGGGACCAGAAACTGGGTCCTCTGCAGGCAGCCGGTGCTCCTGGGGGACGAGCTGTCTCTCCAGACCTAGAATTGTATTTTGTCATCAGCCATGTTTCAGTGGAAGAGCTTTAACACCTCGCAAATGAAAATATCGTACTGATCACAGGAACTCAAAGCATAATTCTCTTAAGACTCTAGAAGCATCTGGGTGTGCATGTGAGCTTCATAATTAGCCATTTTTCCTTGTATAGTTCAAGCGTAGATCCATTTTGATCAGATGTTAGTAGAGAGGGAGGGGTGGCCAGGGGAGAGAAAGAGACTAGTATCTTAGCAAAAGTAATTGCTGGTAGGGAACTGACGTTAAAACTGTTTTAAACATTTGACCAAAGAATATATGCTATTTCCACAATGCTTTATTTTAAAATGCCATGTTAGACGTGTTTTATGTGGATCAGCAAGGCAGAGTCACGGTCTTGGGGGTCTATAAGCGTGAGATTTCTCTTCTGTTAGTAGAGTTGTTAGCACCAACCTGAAAGGTTTGTGTGCCTAGCCGCTGGCTAGGTTTGAGTTGGCACTTGGGTATCTTTCCCCTGTACTGGTGTCTGGGTTCCAGTCAGGCCAGATGTAGGCTGAATATTTAATAACTGAAGCACACTGTGTAGCTTCTAATCCTTTACGTGGTCACAGTTGTTTTAAGGGACATTTGTGGTAGTTAAAGCAGGTCTATACTGCTTAATACTTCATCTTAGGTGTCCCCTGGAAAGTCCAACAGCATGGCCTTATTTTCTTTCTTTTTTTCCTTTAGGCTGTGGAACCCTTTTAGTATTGGATCAAACTGAATCTGGACTACAGATTTTTAGAAGGTACAGTGGCTGTCTTTCCTATTGCTGCGATAAGACACCATGGTCAGCCAGGCGGTGGTGGCGCACGTCTTTAATCCCAGCACTGGGGAGGCAGAGGCAGGCGGATCTTTGTGAGTTTGAGGCCAGCTTGGTCTACAAGAGCTAGTTCCAGGACAGGCTCCAAAGCAACAGAGAAACCCTGTCTCGAGAAAACACCAAAACAAAACAATAACAACAACAACAAAACCCACTGTGATCAAGACAACTTATAAAATAAAGTGTTTAATGTGGGTTGGTGGTCTCAGGGTTAGGGTCCATGATGGCAGAGCCAGGGTTCCAGGAACAGCTGAGAGCTCACATCTTGATCCTCAGGCCTTGTTTGTCAAAGGCAGAGGAAAGAGGTTTCGTCAGAAGATGACTACCTGTTCGTATCCCAGATGAGATGCATGCTGGGAATGGGACAGGTCTTTTGAATCTCACAGCCCACCCCCAATGACACACTTCTTCCAACAAATACCACACCTCCTAAACTCTTCTAAACATGTCTGTCAACTCGGGGCTGAGCATTCAAACATATGAGAGCTTTGGGGGGGGCCATTCTCCTTCAAACCACTACGGTGACTCTAATTAAGCTTACATAGACTCTCAACCACTGTCAAAATCTTAATACAATTCCCTTTTGAATATTTGGTACTAATGGGTTTTGATTTATAATATAAAAGAAACTTTTGCATTAGCATAATATAGAAATTATTTTTTCTGCTTAGGTTTCTCGAGCTTATTAGTGTCCACTTAGAAATTCCATGTTTTAAACAGTGAGCCAAAAGGGTGCCCTGTGACACTGCCCATCTTTGCTGTCTTACTGTAATTTAGCTTTACGTAAGCAATAGCTAATGCCCGTCTTATGGATTACCCAGTGTTTCTCTTCTCTCTGTACCCGTCTTCCATGTTGATTGATGGACTCTTAATACTCCACCAGGGTTAGTCAAAGGCAGAGGAAAGAGGTCTCGTCAGAAGATGACTACCTGTTCGTATCCCAGACGAAAGATCTATGCAGTACGGCTCTTACAGCTCAGAGGAAAGATTTATGGGAGGATTTAAAATGGTTGGCCTCAGGATTTTGAAGTGCTTGCTGGTGCGTGCCATGAATCACAGGCTACAGCAAGCTGCAGGTGTGACGGCCTGCCCTCGGTAGATGGCGTCATATTAGTGGCTGCAAACCTTTAGTTTAGCTTTCTAGTTATCTGCCTGCACTCCCTGACCCATTCTGCCTGCCTTTCTGAACCCGTTTCTGTGAAGGACCTGCTTGACTTCTCTCTCATACTTTTTAAGATCCTATGAGGTCATGTGTGTTACAATATGTGAAAAACTGAGGAGGAAAGCTAACTCTACACTTACAGATGGTCGGTCACTTTCTGGCCAGCAGTTCATGGATGTATCTTTTTAACTCTGCTGCAGCTTTGACTGGAATGATGGATTGTTTGATGTCACCTGGAGTGAAAACAATGAGCATGTCCTTGTCACCTGTAGTGGTGATGGCTCACTGCAGCTCTGGGATACTGCCAAAGCCACAGGGCCCCTGCAAGTCTACAGAGAACACACTCAGGAGGTAGGATGGGCGTCTCTCTGGGATGGTTGCTTTTCTGTCTTAGACTTCGGTTGAAAGCCCTTTGTGAATGAACACGGGGAAATGGTTGCAGGGGACAAGGTTAAGCTTTAATGTTTCTTGTTCAGAGCAGTGTCACTTAGTATTTTATTTTTCGAATATAAAGTAGTTCTTGGCCTAACACAAGAAAGAAAAGGTCAGGCTGCTCACCAGGCCATGCCAGTGCCTCCAGCAGTGTGCTGTGACCTCGTTCCCTCCACCCAGCGCCCTGACGTTCCTTATGCTCTGGGAACAGGTCTGCCATGCAGAGCCTAAGAGAGGGTGGGCGGGCTGTTCACAGCTCTGTCACCACTGTCCTTGGGCTTCAGAGGGACCCAGAATATATCCAAGCAGCAGCGTCAAATACCAGCTAGGAGCTGAGTTTACTAAAGGAAATTTAAGATTCACTTTTTTAATTTGTGTGTGTAAGTCATATGGGGCATAGGAACTAGTTTTGACTCTGGAAGAACTGAAATGCGTGCATAGGTTTTAGGGAATGCGATGAGTGTCATAAGCCACCTTTATGGGGGTTGATTTTTACTGGGCTCCTAGCTGTGGTTTCTTATGTTCCAGGGTAGGAGCGTGAGGATTAGAATTCCTAGGAACATAGATATAGAAAAATAAGAAGCAGAAACATAGGATAGCACTGGAGGGACATACAGTGAGTACTGAAAGTCGCCTGTGTTTAATTTCCAGTTGCTCAAATACCCTGACCCCAAGAGGTAGGAATAAGATAAAAACAAAAAACAAAAAACAAAACAAAACAAAACAAAACCCACATTGACATGATACAAGGAATGAACATATCAGTTGAAGGATTACGGGCTACATTCTTAGTTAAACATTCTGTTGCCAGAACAAGACAATGAATACTCACACCCTAGACCAAAATACTCTGTAGGCAAACCACTCTGTGGGTGGAATCCATAGTTATCTCCCTAAGGGAGTAGGAACCTAGATGGATCCTTAGACTTCGGTTTGAGATAGAAACAGATTTACTTCTTAATACCTGACATACCAGGGCTGGGTATTAGCCTCACCTGTTGACAATAATCTTGAGAGTGCAGTAGTTCCAGCTGTCTGACCTTTAGTCAAGGTAGAATTAGACCCACGTGTGGGTCCTGTCAGATGAGGCCATTCTTTCCTGGCGTTTTACATTTTATCTTAAATGTTTTCACCTCCAAGTAACAATGGAGTCTTCAAAGATTTGCAAATGTGCTTTCAAGTTTTTACCTATGCTTACGCTGTCTCGTAGGCCTTCAACAAGTGTTTACTAATTGGATGGAAGAACATTAGTGCTTTGTATAAAAATTGAGTTCTGTGAGCATCCTAGAGAACATTGTGTACTTACAGCTATTTTTTTTAAAAAAATCAGTATTTCTACAATTAGTTCTAAAAATCATGAACACTTTCTATCACTCTCTCGTGTTGGGACGGCTCCTTGAATGGTGGGTGGCGAATTACGGTGTTTTTAGAACCATCACTGGGAAATAGAGGAACTCGGGTTTCAGGGTGTTCAATGAAAGACTCCCTTCAGGGAGGTGGATCTCTGTGAGTTCAAAGCCCGCCTGGTCTACAGGACAGGCTCCAAAAGCTACAGAGAAACCCTGTCTCAAAAAACAAACAAACAAAAACAACAACAAAAAGAAAGAAAGAAAGAAAGAAAGAAAGAAAGAAAGAAAGAAAGAAA